TGGCAGAAACCTAATGGCTGCCTGCCAAGAGTTTATTACTTATGAAGGGAAGAGATAACTTCTCTCCGCTTCTGGTACATCAAAGTAAATGTTCAATAATTACAGAGTAAATCAAGTCCAAATATAATCCAGCAAAGTCTATAACAAAAGTCCGGCAATGCAGAATGGCGTGGAAGCTTTCAGCTTTGTTTGTCACAAGGTTTGACTGGCCACCACGCTCCCTTTTATACCCTGTGGGGTGTGGTCCAGTGACTCAGCCTAATCTCGGGCACGCCTTTTCTTCTGTTGTGTGCGCTTATCTCTGTGACACTGTCGAGGATCCAGCCAAGACTCATTACTCTCATCACTGTCCACCTGTGGCTTCGTGGACGTGCTTGGCCCCGGCCCTATCTCTTGCCCTTCAGCGGACACCGAAGGCATTGCCAAAGAGGAGGGTCCTGGAGAGGGAGGCCTTGCCAACTCCTCTCCTTCACTCTCGGAGTCCTCTATTGAACATCTCTGGAGAGACCTGAAAATGGCTGTCCACTGAATGTTGCCATCCAACCTGACTGAGCTTGAGAGGATTGAGAGGAAGAAATGGCAAAAAATTCCCTCCATCCAGGTGTGCAAAGCTTGTTGCATTATATCCAAAAAAACCTCAAATCTCTTTCAACTGTGAGAAATATAAAAGCTCTTAGCAGTAGTACTCGTTTCTCAGCGGGAGAAACCCAGCCCTAAATTTGTAGATTATGTTATAGCATGCAGTTGCCCAGGCCTATCTGCCTTCTTGTCATATCAGCTTGCAGACATGTGGACCATTTTTATAGCTGATAGCAGAAAGAGAGATATACATATAATTATCTCACAGGAAAAAAAGGGTTTATGTGTGTTTTTCTTCTAGCCAGGTTTTCCCTACGTAACCAAGGTTTTTTGTAGCTCCAGCTCAGTAGAATCACATCTACTCAGTTCTGGGCTTTTTTCCTTTCTAACAGCTAGCAAGCTCTAACTGCTAGGTGGGAGACATAAATAGATCCATTTCTAGCTCGTTTACTTTGCCCAGAACTGAGTAGATGTGATTCTACTGAGCTGGAGCTACAAAAAACCTTGGTTACATAGGGAAAACCTGGCTAGAAGAAAAACATACACACATACATACATACATACATACATACATACATACATACATATATCTCCACAGTGCTTTACAACACTGTCTGAGTACTGTATTTTTCGCACTATAAGGTGCACTTCCCCCCCAAAAAAAGTGGGTGGAAATGTCTGTGCATCTTATAGAGTGAATGTTGTTGAAGCCCCGCCCACCCGCCAGCCCCCACCCGCCAGCCTCTGCCTCCCAACAATTTGCCTCCTTGCAGCAAACATCAAAGAGCCTGGTCAGCTTCAGCACAGCCTGATTTAGCACGAGCAGCTGATTAGTGGTTGGATCGGCCTCCTGGAATACCACTGATCAGCTGTTCCAGGCTGTAGGGATCGCATTTTTGGCCCGTTCCAGGTAGTAAGGATTGCTGCCACCACCAATCACCACCGATCCTGGAACGGGCCAAAAATGGGATGTGCGGAGGCCAAAAATGGGGCACATGGAGGCTGAAAATGGGGCACACAGAGAGGGTGATGGGGACAGTGACAATGGGCAGCAGCAGTAGTGATAGGTGGCGACAGCCACAATGAGTGGCCGTGATCCCCTGTAACAGCTAATCAGCGGTATTCCGGGAGGCCGATCCAACTGCCAGTCAGCTGCTGGTGCTAAATCAGGCTGTGCTGAAGCTGACCAGGCTGTTTGCTGTTTGTTGCAAGGAGGCAAGTTGCTGGGAGGCAGAGGCAGATATTTTTGTCCTTGTTTTCATCCCCAAAAGCTAGGTATATCTTAAATTCCAGAGCATCTCATAGTGCAAGAAATAGTTTATATTGTCAGGGTATTACCCCAGTAATCTGGATTCCCATTTTGCCAATCTCAGAAGGATGGAAGACTTAGTCAACTTTAAGCCCCATCAGGATCGAGCCCCAGGCTGTGGGCAAAGTTAGCCTACAATGCTAACCCGGATTGTGGGGGCAATAAGATGACTTTGTATAAACATACAAAAGTATGAAGGCTATTGCTTAACACACTGTAAGCTGCCCTGAGTCTCCAGAGAAGGGCGGCATATAAATCAAATAAAAATAAAAATAAATAAATAAAATAAATAAATAAATAAAATGCTGCATTCTAACTAAGATATGAGCCACCATGGCTCATATCTTAATTAGCTGCTGTTTAGCCTCAACAATAAAAAAAAAACCTGCCAGAAATGTTTTATCTCTGTGAAAATTAAAGTAGAAAAACATGCCTTAATTTGATACTTAACATAAAAATCGTAAGTTTTTAATATTGTAATTTAGATCAAATCCCATGAACCGATGAAGTCCCCGTGGCAACCAACTTTTCACCTATGTAGTTTCTTTTATCCTGATGAAGGAGAAGATATGATGGGCAAATCTGAATTCGTTTAGTGCTTTGTTTTTATCCAACAAAAGTTTTAGTTTTTGACTCCTTAAAAGTGTGATTTAATATTGGAATTCATTGTTTTATAGCCTGCCCGTAACTCATTTTTTTCCTGAATTTTCTAGCCACTTCCAAGTTACTCCCTCTGATCTATTTGACTCCTATATCACTTAGAGCTTTCAGAAAATGGAGTTCCATCTATATAGTGACTGACATAGCTGTAGAAAGTAGATGAATACATGGATCAAATGACTTTATTTGATTTGTAAGCTGATTTGTACAATCTCTGAGGAAATATAATTGACTTGCAAAACAGTAGGACAACCATACAGCTGAAATCTTTTCCAAAAGCATCTTACATAAACAGGGAAGAGAATGGATTCAGGCTGGAACACAAAGGGAGTGACAACAGCAAGAAATAGTTGAGTCCATCTGTAAAGGGGGCTGTAAATGGAAGAGAGACATCAAAGGCCTTGCCCCCCCCTCAGATGTCCCCCCTCCCCCAAAAAACTAAATATTCCTATTGAGGGGTTAGAAGATAGCTGTCAGCACTTCAACCTGCATTTACTCTAGTGCTGACATAAGAAGGAGAAGCGAAGGCGTCTGGAAAGGGACATTTGACTTTTCACCTACTTATTTTCCCTGGAGATAATATCCCCTAGGAAATGGGATGGGAAGGGGGAAATTCCTTTGAGCTGGAGTAGATTAGAGGTAGAATGACTTGGAAGATGGCCAATGAGTGCAGGGGAGTGGGGAATGGAAAGGGAAGGTTTGGGGGCTGGAAGTCAGTGTTGGCTTCGACTGTAGTCGGGTTTAGAATGCCGTGCTTAATAAATAGGAGTTTTTCTTCAAAGACTTTGTTTGAAATGCAATTTATTTGAGATAACCTCAAAACCTGACAATAACATTGGCTTAAAAAAGGCTTATCACAGATTATTTTTAAGAACATGGTGATGTAACATAATATTTTAGGTAGACATATAGCAAGCTAAGACAAAATTGTTTTTCACTGAATCTTCTTGGCATGTAAGCAGAAAATAACATCTTATCATGAAATTCTCTATGGTACAAAGTTGCATTCAGAAGGATGGAAACGACAGATTTCGGCAAACCTTTGTGAGTTTCCAGCCCAATGAGAGGGTTGAGGTCTCATCTCTTCTCAAAGGAACATAAATTGTGGTCCAATATGAATTGAAAAGTAACAGATTTAAACGTATCATTAGCTTTGTCCCAACCATTCCCCCTCCCCCCCGTTTTTAGATTGGGAAAGCTAATGATATCTGAAGAAAGGCATTCAAACAATTAGATCAGTGTTTCTCAACACTGACTACTTTAAGATGGGTGGGCTTCAAAAGCTGGACTTCCTCAGCAGCTGGCTGGGGAATTCAGGCATCTGAAGTCCATTCATTTTAATGTGATCGAGGTTGAGGAACACTGAATTAGACACTAAGCATGACCATTTGAGGATTTGAAAGTAGGATTCAGCGAAAAATCAGTTTATCAGAGATGAATTTTATGAGCATGGCGATGTAACAAAATATTTTACAGCTTGTTAGGATATGGTGTATGCCTAACAGGTTTCCAGGCAATATATGGACAATATATGTGTTCTATGACTTTAACATGGATATGTATTATATGACTTTAGGGAAGTACTGCTGAGTCATTGTAATGCTGAGTCATTGTATCCTGATTGGATAAGCTCTGTTGTAACTGTATTTAAGAAGGGAGCTGAAATGTAGTCATTGATGATATGCTACCATTGTGTGTGGAGATGCTATCATCGTGGATGGATATGCTACCATCATGATCTGTTACCAGCGTGTATGTGCTGCTATTATTACCTACTGCTGTTTTGTATGGTAAGAAGACTTTTGTATCATTGGACTGATTTGACTGGCAAAGACTTGGCTTGATTAAAAACTATGAGATTGTTTTTCACTACAAAGTAAAAACTTTGATAAAGCAGTTTGTATGTATTTTATTCATCGCTCTCAGCACCATTTCCCTGTGCTCTACGCTCTGCTGGTTGGTTAACATAACAATATCCTTAACACAGCTAGACTTATAGTAAGCTAGAACAAACTGCTTTTCACTAAGTCTCCTTAGTCATGTAAATAGAAATTTTCACATCGATATGAAATTGACTCTGTGGTACAAAGTTGAATGGAGAAGGCGATAAACTAGAGATATTGCAAAACTTTGTGAATTTCAGCCCAAATAATAGTGCTGAAGTCCCATGCTATTCAGAAGTGTGTCCAGCATGGATTAAAATCTAACAAATCCAGACAATGCTTTGTCTCAAGCATTTTTCCAGTTTTCAGATGGGAAGAGCTTCTTGATTTTCTCTAGACTTCCTCTTTAGAATATTATTTCTATCTCTATGATGTAACATGTAGGGAAAATTTTAGTGGACACTCATTCTATACGGTTATCCTTAATAAACCACAATGTACAAACAATCAAAAATCTATCTTCTTAGCCCAACTAGTTAAATAATCAACAACAATCTTTTCAGAAATATTCACAACGGGGTTTCATCAGGCTGCATCTCATTTTCCTTGGCATCTTCTTCATTTCTGAAAACCCTGCGGAGCACAAGTTTCATGGAAACTCTGGATCGATCCTCCTTATTTCTCCCAGCCAGGAAATAAAGGATTGGGTTGATGCTGCTATTTACTGCAATACAGATGTCAGATACCATTTCAAGAATAATTATAGGTTGAATCCAGGGCAGAATTATATTTGCAAAATCTAATATTTTGTCACCCATCATTTCATTTTTTAACAGCGATTCCAAAGACAAGTCATAAAGTCCCCATGTTAAATCATTACTTATTAGCATACAACAAGTAATAATGCCAAATATGTTCACAGGCAAACGAAGTACAATGAAGCACATGAGTGCAAGCAGGGTTACCATCAACACTTTTTTCCGCTTTTGCTGGCGTTGTTTAATGAAAATTTTCACAAGCAGGATCAGAGTGGAAATGATCACTGTTGGGTAAGGAAACAGTGCGCTGAAAATCATCTCAGATATTACAAGAGACTTTGATAATCCAATTACCATTTCCAAGACAAAACACACGAAGGGCAGAACCCAAGTGATAACACACACAATGAGGGACAATTTGGGTGGCCGATGGCACTGATGCCAAATTGGAAAAAGCACAGATACACAACGGTCCACACTGATGCTTATGAGTAAAAGTTGACTAGTATTATACAACATAAAATAAAGGAGGAGTACAATAACATACATTCCAAAACTAGTTTCCCTAAAAAACTCAAATATTTGAACCAAAGCCAACATTATGAGTACTCCACAATCAGCCACAGCCAAATTCAAGACATAGATGGAGAAAGAATTCCTTTTCATATGGAAACCAAGGATCCAGATGACTTTTCCATTCCCTAAAAGTCCCAAAAAACAGATAGCAAAAAGAATGACATTAAAGATGATAATCTCCGTAAAATTTGGAATAATTGGAATTAGAAAATTTACAATTTCTGTCCAATTTCGATTGTTGTAGACATTATATTCCATCTCTGAATCAAATAATAAGGTAGGGTCAAACTCTGCCATTCTGCTCAGTTCAGTTTTCTTTCTTCTGTATTTTTCTTTTTCTCCTTTTGTACTTAAATTCCTGCAAAGAGAGGCAAGACAGGCATACAATAAGTCCTAAACTATGCTATATTATTTTCAGAATTTTTTTTACAGCCAAAAGAAAACTAAGTGATTAAAAGGGAATTTTCTCTTAAGAGAAAACTCAAATTTTCTTGATGACAATACAGAACTTATGAAAGCAAGCCGAGAGGCAGTCAATAAATAAATATCTAATGCAGGGGTCAGCAACCTGCGGCTCTGGAGCCGCATGTGGCTCTTTCACCCTTCTGCTGTGGCTCCCTGTCACTCAAAATATCACTCACAGCTGCCAATGTGTGACACTTGCCGGCACGGGATTTATTGAGCTTTTCAACCCCCGGTAGGCCAACCATGGATAAATCCAAGAAAAGAAAAGTTTCAGAAGAAAACATAATATTTAATTCAACTATATATGCTAGTTTTGTGGCCGCTCAAGAAATAATCAGGCACGGGAAGGATTTTGTGGCTCCTAGTGTCCAAATGACTCTTTGAGTGTTTAAGGTTGCAGACCCCTGCTCTAATGCATTAGATATATAGACAGAATAAATAAACATCCCGTATCTACCACTGGCGAGCAAGATATTTGCAAGAGGTCTGCAAGAGATTTGGAAGGAGAGGTGGAGTTTTAGGAAAATAGATGCACATTTGCAATCCATAGATTCTTGTATCAATAGCACTTAGACCTATATACCACTTCACAGTGCTTTACAGCCCTCTCTAAGTAGTTTACAGCATCAGCATGTTGCCCCCCAACAATCTGGGTCCTCAATTTACTGATCTCAGAAGGATGGGTGGCTGAGTCAATCTTGAGTTGGTGAGAATCAAACTGCCCAACTGCTGGCAGCCGGCAGACAGCAGAAGCAGCCTGCAGTACTGCATTCTAACCACTGTGCCACGACGGCTCATTGTACAGTATTTATAAAGATTAAAATAAGCCAAAGTAAATGAGTTCGATTTCTCATGTTTTTCCAAACACCACAGAGATCCTAAATTCTATTTTAAACCCTTGGTAATTTAATAATAATAATAATAATAATAATAATAATAATAATAATAATAATAATAATAATAATAATAATAATAATAATAATAATAATAATAATAATAATTTTATTTCTATAATAATAATAATTTTATTTCTATACCGTCCTTCTCCCGAAGGACTCAGGGCGGTGTACAGCCAATTTAAAAACACAGGACACAACAATAATTAAAAATTAAAATAATTAAATAGATTTGGCCGATTTAAAACCCCAAAAATTTTAAATACCCCAATTTAAAATTATTATGTTGATAGCCCTGCCTGGCGGAACAACAGGGTCTTCAGTGCGCAGCGAAACACCCGGAGGTCGGAGATCTTACGTATTTCTGGGGGCAGTTCATTCCACAGGGCGGGGGCTCCCACAGAGAAGGCCCTCCCCCTGGGTGTCGCCAGCCGACATAATTTGGCTGATGGCACCCTGAGGAGACCCTCTCTGTGGGAACGGACTGGTTGGTGGGAGGCTACTGGTGGCAGAAGACGGTCTCGAAGGTAAACTTTGGGAAAGTTACTGCTTCAGCTCAATTTGTTCCCCAAATTTAGTGAAAAACAATGTTAGTCCCAGCTGATTGGGAGGAAATGGAGATTTTACAGTATCCTTCCCCTGCCATGCCGGCCAAGCCAAGCCACGCCCACCAACCCATGCCATGCCCACCAAGCCACACCCACAGAACTGGTAGTAATAAAATCTGGAACCCACCACTGGTCTGTTTCCTTGCACAAATCTAACACAGCATACTTTAACAGTATTACAGTAGATATTGTGTTTCCAGGGGTCATAATCACAAATCCCTCCCATATATATAGGGTTCCCCAGTGATGTACTCTCAGATTTAAGTCTTAGTTCAGTCCAAGATAAACACAGGAGCACTTTTAGTCCGTTAATAGCATTCTTACAAAATACGAAATAAAGAGAAAAGGACCTTGGAGGTCTTTTAGTCAGAAGCAGGAGACCCCATACTATTTCAGACAAATGTCTGTCCAGTCCCTTCTTAAAAGACCCCAGTAATGAAGCACCCACAATTTCTGAAGGCAAGCCATTCCACCGATTAATTGTTCTCACTGTTAGGAAATTTCTTCTTAGTTCTATGTTACTTCTCTCCATGACTAATTTCCATTCATTGTTTCTTGACTCTGTCCCTCTGTTTATGCATGCTTTTTGCATGCTGGGGCACACTGCTGGCTCATATTTAAGCAATTGTCCACTAGGACTCCAAGATCCCTCTCACAGTTACTGCTTTTGAGCCACCAAGGCTCCTGACCTCACCCCATTCCTAAGAGGTCTCTAAGGGGCGTGTGTAAGAGCACCAGCCTGCCTACCGTCCCTGTCCTAATGTTCCCTTTAATTGTATTCATTTTATGTATTCAATTCATGCTTATACTTAAATATATTATCTAATACGTACTCAACAAAATAATAAATAAATAAATAAATAAATAAATAAATAAATAAATAAATGAGTTCCCCACTGATTTCAAGGGATCCATTCTAAGATTTAAATCAGTTTAAACACAGGAATACCTTTAGTCTGTTAACAAGTTTCTTCTTTAAAAAACCCTTTAATCTTTAGAAGAGAGAGTCTTGGCCACAGAAGAAGAAAAAAAATAGAACAATTTTTTTTTAATTTGATTTTTTTTAAAAAAATTGATTTATATGCCGCCCTTCTCCGGAGACTCAGGGCGGCTTACAATGTGCTCAGCAATAGCCTTCATCCTTTTGTATATTTATACAAAGTCAGCTTATTGCCCCCACAACTGGGTCCTCAATTTACCTACCTTAGAAAGGATGGAAGGCTGAGTCAACCTTGAGCCTTGGCGAGATTCGAACCTGCAGTAATTGCAAGCAGCTGATCTTAATAAGCAGCTTAATAACAGGGTGCCTTAGACCACTGTACTACCAATTTGGTACCCAGTCCATTATAATAATTTTTAAAACCTCAGATGAGCTCAAGAAAGAATTACAGTTAGGCTATTTTCCAATTTTACCAAGATAAATTATCTGCACACACTCATACGGCAATGGCTTTGAATGTTATTCCTAGCAACAAAAATGAAAGAAACGGATTGGCTATCCATTTTCCCCAAGCAATAGGTGCCCCTGAATGTGCTGTGCCTCCCAGAGCTACAGAGCAACAATCTGACTTTTGCAAATCCATGGTTTAATTTGAAGTAAATTTAGGTAGGAAACACACAAAGCTATAGAATTGAGCGGAAGCATAAACTAAGCCATCTGCATGGTGTGATTCCATCACAAAGCACTAATGTTCTGCCCCCATAACATTGCCTTTTCTGCAAGTAGTAGACACAGAGATTCATATATACCTGGAAATAAGGACTGGTGGGAAATCTTCACCTTTCTTAAATACAAAATGTATATTCCTCTGTATCAGGTCCTCGAATGGCTCCCTGGCATAAAGAGCGTTTCAGAAAAGCATTCCAAACGGAATAGATGTATTGAGCTGTAACTGTAAAATGTCGGTCTTCTGTTGATTCTTTGTTAAGCAAGATTAACAAAGATTACTTGATAAAGTAGCTTCATTGTTTAGCATTTATCAGATTAGAAAGGCTGATTTTTGACTGCTAAAATAACTATTACTTTAAGTAGAGCAGAAGGGTGGCAATTATTCATTATTAGATGCACTGGCAATAATCTTACTAAAGATGACTGTTTGGATAGCCAAAATGTGGTAATTTTATTTATTTGTTGAAATCATATCTTAAAACAATTCTGGTTGACTTACAGCCAATAAACAAATAAATAAAATAAATATAGAAAAATGAAAACCAGAAAGATTTCAATGACTGGTAATCCATTTCAGGGACTGGTAAAAACATTGCATGAAAACTCTAATATTTTACTGTATATGAGAACCCTCAAAGGTTTGGCTTTCTCGCCTGACATTATTTGAAATCTCCAGGATCTGATGGATCTTGCCATGTAGTGAGTTTTGAGATAGTATTTTTAACCAAGTAGGTTGTGCCATCAGTTCAACACTCTGTGTCAGGAATTATAGTCATTTTTTAAAAAAATTTGATTTATATGCCGCCCTTCTCCGGAGACTCAGGGCGGCTTACAATGCGTTTAAGCAATAGCCTTCATACTTTTGTATATTTATACAAAGTCAGTTTATTGCCCCCACAAACTGGGTCCTCAATTTACCTACCTTAGAAAGGATGGAAGGCTGAGTCAACCTTGAGCCTGGGGAGATTCGAACTAGCAGTAATTGCAGGCAGCTGAATGATAATAACAGGCTATTAGTCTGCAGTCTGTTGGTCTCTGTTTCTGAATATTTCTTCCTATGTGTCTGTTTTAGTGAAGACTTTAGCTCAACTGACTAGATTGGGGGATGTCAAACTCGTGGTATCATGTTGCTGTCATGTGATATATCATGAGTTTTCTCCCCTAAACCGGGGGTGGGGGTGGCCAATGTGTGACACATCCGGCCAGCGGGCCGTGTGTTTGACACTCCTGGACTAGATAAACCACAAATATATGGATACACACAGTAGTTCATTTACTGAAATGAAGAATGTCTTCTTTTCTTTTTGTTGTCATGCCTGTTTACTCTTAGTGTCTACATGGGCAGAGTCTTACTGTTTTCTTGGAAACTTGGTTTCCCATTGCCTTCTTCTTGGGACAGGGAGTGAGTAACAGACCCAAAATCATCCAGATTATTGACAGGTGTAGAATTCTACCTGTTCTAACTAGCTCTTTCCTCTTATTTCCCCAAAACATGTCTACTACAGTTTAAAAGAGGGGGGGAGAGAAAGGTTTTGAAGGGTTCCAGAGTTAATATAATATTGCATAGCATTTGCACAAACAAATAACGAATAAAACAAAAACCTACAAAGCATTTCTTTAATAGGTCAAACTGAATCACATGCAAATAATTAAAAAAAA